GAATCCACTACCAACTACCACTTTCTCACGCTTGTTGAAGAGTGTCAGGTCTAGGACTCGCAGCTTTCCAGAGTCTGTTTGAACTGAGGTGCAGGATCGGGGGAAGTAGGGATCCAGTGGCACAGAGTTGTGTAGGATGCTGCGTCCAGGTAGGTCTCATCTCCGAACTCCCAGCGATAAACTGTCCGTTCCTTGTTCGGTGACTGGATGTTGGAACATCCAGATTTCGGACTCTTCATTGTCAACTTGTTGATAGACGACGTTGGCATCGCCTTCGTAGAAGAACCGTGGCGCATCCGGAGCTTGTCAGCAGAGACGAGCCACCTCCCAGGGGTACATCCAACGTCAGATCGGAGCGAAGAGGAATAACGCTTTCCTCCACAACCACCAAGTCCTGGTATCCTTGGGTCGATCTTGAAACTCTTGAAGTAGGTGTGCGAGGCATCAAGGACTGGAAAAGCCATGCCAGAACCCCTCCCGGATGTATGTGCCACATGCCGTTGTGATGTCGTTACCGTGACAACTTGGAAGTAACACGCACATATTTGATCGTTTCAGGTCTGCTTCGGAGAAATTCCCATACCACCCTACCCAATCCATAATGTAGGAGTCTTGCTCGCGCTGCAACGGCGGAATGTGAGCGTTGTGCACTTCAATCGTGCCTCCAATGGATTTAAGGAACCTTCGCATGCATTGGAACAGCCCGACTGGGAGATGAACAATCGACTTCGAGATCCTCAAGGATGGGCCGGCCAATTCCGGCATGGAACTGCAACCATGCGTATGTGACTTCACTGAGGTCACCGATGTCGGTGCACCTGGTCCTCCAGTGCTTCAGGAACTGCTGGATCACCCCGATTCCCTGCTTGTCGGTGAGTCGAAACATTTCTATACCCCCCAACTTCCAGGAACCATAGCAGATCACTTTCGCAGTATTCGATCGATACCCCATCTTCTGAAGTGCAGCTCGGCGTGGAGCCGATTCAATGGTATCGAGATCGACATCCTTGAAGAAGGTGGTCTCCAAGCAGTAACCAACACTCGAAAGGAAGATGCTTCGATAGAACATGTTGGCTTCCCGTCGATTCAGTGGGGACCCTTTCAGAACCCTGGTATAATGGGTGCATTTCTTGATCAAGGCTGCTTTCTGTGCTGCGAGATTTCCAGCCGGGCCTTTGAAACATCCCAGTGACTTGTGATCTTTGTAGTTGTCTACTGGTTTGATCGGCGTGACGATCCCATCAGTGGATTTCACCTTGATGGATGGTGTAAAGTCAGTCCCCGAGACCAGCTTTGGTTCTCCACTGGATCTGAACTCATATCGGAGATGATGAAAGGAACACTTCGAAGCCTCTAGCTTGCCACCCGATGACCACAGAAGATCACTCCACCATTGAGCATCTTTGGTTGCCTTCTCCACCAATACCTGCACTGAGGGAATAGTGTTTGTCAGAAAGCAATTCGTTCTTGAATTCGTATCATCCACAAACCCTGTCATGAAGAGCTTGACCTGCTTTGATCCGTCTGGGCTGGCAAAGGTGGCACCAGTTGCATAGGGCTCGAAGCCACCGTGGAAACCAAAGCTTATTACCTTGCCCAGAAAACGACGATAAGGTTCCGCCATGAAGGGGTCGATGATTGCGAAAGCATCCCGCCCTTTCTATGCCTAAAGAAGAATACAGAGGGGAAAACACTGGTGTACTACTCTTCCAGCGGAAGTGGCAAGACATCTGAGCTTGTGGGCAAAACCGCTTCACAGGAATCCGACCTTGCAGTTTTCATCACAGTGAGAGACCTAGAACTAGCATCACCTTGCAGCCAAGAGAGGGCGATGGACTAGCAGATTCTTCCGCAGGTACAAGATTTGATAGTTGTTGAACAGAAACACATTCGATCCTTGATTGACGCAGTCCGAGAAATGAACCGCCCTCTGAAGGTAGTCCTTGCGATTGACGAGGCTTCATCATGCCCGCGCATAATTCGGGGAATATTACGATTCCCGGATTACATTCACAAACTGATCAATCAAGCCATCAATGAAGGAATCTCAATCAAAGATCATGTGCCTGAATTTCGGCTACAAACCAAGATTTCTGTCTGTGGAACCGGAATTGCGTCAATCACCATCCATTGGATCTCTTCCCGACCAGTTTGTAACCCTCACGCCGTATCACGATGAAGAAAACGGGTGAAAAGTTATCATTGACAAGAGACTATCTCTCTATCCAGTAACCGTCCATGTTTCCTGGAGCGCTACAAGAGAGTCTATCACCAATCTCGAATTTCTGAAGGATCGTCTTCCTGTGCTGGCGACCCTAATGAAAAATGGGCGTATAACATCTATCGCATTGAAGAAACTACGAGACCATATGGGGACGCAAAGCGAGGATGTCATTAGCAAACGATATCTGGTACATGGAGTTGTGCGGGATTTTATAAGCACCAATGGCATGTCGGAAATTTCAAGAAATTCAAAAAGGCAACGAAGTGTGGCTGCCTGCGCATTGGCTGTTCATCTTTTTTCTCACCGGGCTGAATTCAGAATACAGGTGCCTAAAACGTCAAGGGAAGTTGCAGAATGGGCAAGCAAGATGGAGTTTTCTAAATTTGCGACAGAAGAAAATGTTTCCGTGAAGAAGTTGGTGACTAAATATGGCCTGCTGGAGCCTTCGAGGGGCATCGACATCAACGACAAGTACGACAATGAAATCTCACCGCCTCTTTTCATGTCCATTCCCCAACAGCTCATTGCAGTTTTTATGCTGGGGATTGATTCTCCAACGATGCTGGAGCCGACTTGGTTTGGGTTCGAACTTATGTCAACGCATTTTGTCAAATGTGCTCTCGCCGCTTCAGCTGTAGTCAACAACGCCAATCGACCCTCCGTAAAGGATGTTCTGGGCACCATCGGTTTTGAGGTGGACAAAGGTGTTACAAGCGACAACGTAAAGGCAACCTGGGATAGTTTGGGACAATGGACTGCATTTCTTGCCGACGCAGGTAGCGAATCGACCTACCACGCTAGGACTCACCAGCTCGACGTTGGGCTCAAAATTGTTTCAAATTCTGCCACTCCCGGCAAGCTGCTTCAAATTGAAACCCAATTACTTCGGGCGTTAACTCAGCTTGAAATGTTTCCCGGGCCTGGCAATAAAATGTTCCTTATTGCTTGTGTCAACGAAGGGCATAGCGATTTGTGCGACGGCCTAGTCACATTTTGTGCCAAGAAGAAAGATACTGAGAGAGAATTCAAAAAGATCACGATCATGATTCAAGCAAAGGACTACCATGGGGACTCTTGGGTTGATGTGGGAAAGATGAATGGTCATGCTGCGAAGAACGCCAATGAAGTTTTAGGTGGTGTGTTTGGTAAAACTCGGATGTTGTGCGCGGCAAGTACTGAAGATGCAGTTTTGGCGAAGGGGTTGACACAGATAAAACGTGACTACCTTCCATATGTGTTTCCTAGAGGGAAGCTGGTAAAGGGGTTGCTCAAAAAGCTGCAAACGCAACGAAATCCATCAGCTCATATTGAAAAGTATGCTTCTTTTCTCGACAAGGACGGAAACGAAGTTAAAGTGGAGGTGCGGGCGGATCGAAAACGAAAAAGTCCTGGTTAGCTAGAGTCCATGGGACCATCACCAACACAGTGAAGTGCATTCCATTCTTTGGGTAGCTGCGAGTCTCTCTCTCACAGGTAAGAATGGTGAAGCGAGGACGGTTGTGATTGCCACACAATACATCAATGGAAGCATTCTGGTGCACAAACTTTGTTTTAACTTTGCCCTCTCCGTACAGAAACATGTCAGTCAAGAAATCAGGCGAAGCATCATCATAGCTATCAGAGTAAAGATCTGTCATCTTGGTCTTTGCCGTTTCCTATGAGCGAAATTGGCGAAGAATGAGCTTCCTTCATTGTCGGATTCCTTTTCACGCCAGCCACCCATCCTCCAAAAAGAAGGGAAGCAGCAAGATTGGCCATGCCGAAAGGGGCCAAAAGAAACAACAATCAATCTTCCGACGCTGCTACTGTCGATCTATTATCTTGGCAAGCAAGGCTACCCCAATGACAATGCGAGTATTTCGCAAGGGTAAGTTGGGTATGCTCTATCGATTGCTGGTGACTCTGCAACTTGTTATCCTGTGCCTGTTGAGCATCTCTCACTCCACTTTGACACATCTCATTTCAACACTCCATGGTAAACAGTGTTGACTTCTTGCGACAACCCACTAAAACATGGCAGGCAAGGGTGGCACGGCAAGAGCAGACCAATGGCTTTCCAGCGGTCCACCCATGGCCTTCTAACTCTAAGCACAGCATGTTCTGTTGGCAATCCTATAACTGCCTTGGCTATTACAGTTTTTTCTTTCTTCTCCGTGCTCTGTCGAGTGAACTTGACACCATGGGCCTGTGGAAGGTCAGACTCTGGGTTCCTTTCTAATCAACGCGTCTTGGGCAGGCACGTCTGAGAGTGCTAGTAGTGTCACGACTTAACCTGCGTTTACCTCCCTCCACATTACCTCCACAACATTTTTCTTGCGCTCAGTTTTCTGTTCATGGGGCCACAGCAACTCGTCTTCCGACGACGAATCAAGACCAAATAACGAGCATACCAAGTATGAATCCCGACAGCCTCTGTCATATCCTCTCGTTCCTGTATCCCACCAAGAGCAACCATGCAAGCAAGGTGCAGGACATTGATTACATCATCTCTGTTCACAACGAACTTGTTGCGCTCTGCGAGGCAATTCCAGCTTGGAGGTCGGCGATTCGCAATGATTTCGTTGCATTTTACCGTTCTCGCGCATTCATATTCATGCAGGAAGCTCCCTTTTCTTGTCAGCTGCGACTATTGAGGAACCAAGATGTTCGCCGTTATGGTTGCTCCGGGGAAACCACAGGCGGGACAGGCAGAGAAGGCATCCGCAACATCTTTCGCGACGGTGACTCCCGCTGGAACAAGTGGTACGATCCAGCCTACGACGGAGCTTTTCCAAGATACGCCCAAGTCACACTTGAGGAATCTTTGGAAGTGGTTGGATATGGTATCAAGAGTGCGAATGATGTGCCTTGGCGCGACCCGGCTTCCTGGCAACTAATGCTTGGAAGAGACAATGGGAACATTGTTAGAGAAGTCCATTCGGTCACGGGCCATCGATTCGACAGACGCTACGAGACGCATTTGTTTGTCGTCTCGGCGGCGGGCAATGTCACTACCCAGACGGACCTTGTGCGCTTGAACATTACGGAGGTCAGCTCTTTGCAAAGTGGAACGCAATTTGCTCAGTTGTACGTCATTGTCAAGCAACAGGAGGCAGAAGAGCAGAACGCAAGACAAAGAAAGCGACGACGCAGGAGAAACCGTGGAAAGAAACGAAAACCTGCTGGTGGCTCCTCATCTGGTGGAAACTTCAGCTTGGGCCGTCTCTGGCTTTGGTAATTGCTGGCTATAAATTTTTAATGCACTACGTGCATGGTGGACTTGTAAATGCTATAGGTTACTATGCATACGTGCCGAACCCATCCCAACTTTCGCGTTTAGTTCGCACAAACCAGGACTTGCTGCCATTCCCAACCATGATGTGTCGTGTAGTGAGGAAGAAGATGCCTCTGTTTGGATTTTGGAAGCAGGAGCAACAAGCTGGCATGAATGATTCGCTACGAGGAGAGCTCAGACTTATTGCGCGATGAACGTCATGCACTAGGGAGCCCCTCAAGAATCCACGGCATTTCTTACCCAACACCCCATGGATGAACGACCAATTGAAAACATGCTTGTCATTCCATATATCGGGTCAAGGCATCAACATTATTTGTCGCGACACAATCAAGTCCATGGACAGCACGGGAATAAAACAGCTAGAGCATCCTTACGCCCATGCAAAAGGATGGACCTACCGGTATGCAAGTTGGGATAACAGTACGGTAGAGTGCATGCGGAGATGAAACTCGAACTGAGCCATAGGCACTTTAAAAGTGCAGTAGATAATCATGATTACAACTGGAGGGTTCTAGGTGGCGGCGGGGCATTGGGAGCCTCAGTTTTGACATCCTGTGTTACCCCAACCCTGCCAATACCGATGGAGTAAACAGCAACAATCCGCCATTCTTTTGCGATGGACACTTCAAGCTCCAAGCATGACATGACACAATACCGGTCAGTTGCACAAGCATGTATGCTTCATAAATGGGCCTTTTGCTACGTTCAATTCCAACCAGCTTCGCTAAATTCAATCGCCACAACAGTTCGTCCAGACCGGATCTTGCTTTCTGCTAAAAGGAGGACGCTTGAGCCAGGAGCGGTCAACTTTGTCATGGTCTCTTTCCGTGGCTTGCCCGGCCTGGGCTTGGCCTTGGGGGGAATGTCGACACTCTCAAGCAATTGATGTAGAATTCTCGGCGTGGTTGAGCAGTGCTGTTGTTTCCGTTGCTGTTCTTGTTTCTCCTTTCCCCATGTATCGACTTTCTTCTCGCGAGCAAACCCAACGTTCATATGGCATTCAATTTTGGATCTAGGGGTTGCTTGGGGATGTTTGTGGGTAAGGTACTGATTGTTGTTGTTGCCTTTAGCGGTAGTGTGCAATGGCCTTCATTTCTCCTGGCTACTAGAAACCTTTTTTGGCAGAAGCCACCAACTTTTGTTGGAGTTGGGGCTGCAATGGTAGTGGTGGCAGGCACTGTCTCCCTCGTACAAAATTGGGGATATGGTTGCACGGCTTCTCCCTTTCTTGGGTGACAGTTTGGATCATTTGCTTGAGTGCCCGGTCCAGACTCTCTTCTGTCATATCGTGTGTTGTTGCTGGTGCCGTGAGCACATCCTTGTAGGAATCATATATATCCTTGTGCATGACAGAGGGCAAATGATAAGCAATCAACTGAGACATGCTGCCCGATAATTTGAGTGATTTGCGATTGAAATGGAAGTACCCCATCATTCCGCCAACCGGAAACAGCAATGGCAGCAAAATATCGCATTTGGACACGGATTGTTGGAATCCAATAAAGCTGGAATGATTGGCAATGACAACAACATCCTCAACTTTGTTAATGACGTAGTCTTGTAGCATCCCAAATCGATGATGTATATACAATTTGACATGCTGTCGGTAATAGTTGGCGTCAGCCCCAAAGACAGCTGCCAACTTGCCATGATGCTTGGCGGAACCAACTGTGCAAAGACGAAGTTTGTTGTTGTTGTTATTATCATTGGTTTGTGGCTGTTTTTGACATTGTTCTGAATCTGGAAACATGGGGAAGACATCTGCCAAGAAATAGCATGTCCGATTGTGCATGGGACTAAGCCAACAGGACCTTTTTCTGGTGTTTTCGTCACAGAAGGTTTCAGTTGCATCGCATGCTAGAAATCCAAAAGGCAATGAACGCAAATAATCATATGAGATACAAGAATGGATCCATGAATGCAAATCAGATGAGATGAGTACAAGAATGGATCAAATGAACAAATATGTGTAGTCGAAACTTGCTGTACAGTAGTAGAAACAAACTCACATAGATGCTGCACACAAAAGTGAAAGGGACTGCGATTGACAAATCCTTTGGGATCAATGGTCCCACAACTGACCGCAATTTGTGCGGCATAGATTCCCTCGTATTTTTCCATCTCCCATGGACTGCCCACATCCCCCATGACGGCCATGACATTTTCATATTTTTCATTGTTGGCAGTCGTATTGCGTTTGCTTTCTGCCACCATGCGTCGTCGTGGCACTCCTCCTTGTAGATAGGAGTAGTAATATGGCTTGAAGGCTGGTAATTCCTTGGCTTTGGAGGGATACAGGACCATTGCGACATCAAAGACGACCACATTGCTTTTGGAAAAATCACAGGGCATTTCGTCCCAGGGTAGTGGATATTTGAGAATGACACTTTCGATCAATTCGTAGTGATAATCGGCATGATTGGCCACCAAGACACGACAGGCAATGGGATTTCCATCATTGTAGTCTTGTCGGAGTGTAGATGCAGTATCTCCTTTCGCCTGGTTATTGTGAGGTTCACTACGAGCCACTGTATCTGGATCTTCCTGCTCAAAGGTAATCCTGGCATTCAGTAGAGAATTCTTGTCAATTTCATCTTGCCGAACACACACGGTAGACTCGTACTTCCCTTCATTGTTGATTTTGTTGTCAAAAGCACTACTTCCAGGAATCAGCTCGTGGATGCTGATAATTTGGATGCCACTGAGAATTTGATCGGTAATGGAGCGAAACTGGGCAAAGCAGACACACATGACCAGCACACCCATGCTCAATAGGGTGCGACGAAATCGGCCTCGACCTGACAAACTCGCAGTGGCATTGTTTGCAGCCTGTTTCTTTTTGCCGCCAACATTGTACTGAGACTTGGGCATCGTCTCTACCGTATCACTCCTGACTCTTTCAAACTAGTCTACTAAAGAGTGACAGATGCTTTTTTGGGGGGGGTCATGATGTGATGGGAAAGTTGAAAGCAGCAAAGCAGCGATGGACATAAATGAAGAGAAAAGACCAAAAAAAGACCAAAAAAAGACTGGGTCCAAAATCCAAGAAGCCAGCTGATTTGCATTCCACCCGTGAACAAACGACAAGACAAGTCTGCGTTCTGAACCTAAACGTTTGTTAGCGCCATTTTCACAACCGTTACGCGCGGACCAGCCCACCTCATCATTGTCACTCCTTTCACTCGAATTGAATGAAAGCACTTCCGCTGATTTATTTGTTGTTGCTGTTGTCCACGGTTGTGTGCTCTACTGAACTCACTTGCTAATAACTCGCTAGCTAGTTGTTGTTGCATTGGTCTCTCTCACTATTAGTCTGAACGAAGGAGCAATGACAATGAAGGTCAAGAAGGAGAAGAAGGAGAAGCCTACTTGTCTGACGGCGTGGTTTGACTTTATTAGCATTGTCAGTGAAAAGGGGGAACATCCCGAGAAGAACCCGCCTCCAGCGGAGACCCAAGTGAGCGTGGACAAGAAGCAGATTTACATTGGCAACTATGTCACGAAATGGAGCGATGTCAGCAACCTGGAGATCCGCGTAGACCCTGATGACTCGACCCATGGCTTTAACTTCAAGGACATCAAGGCGATGCGTCTCATGGAATGCAAACAACCCGTTGGAACGCCCAAACAATGGGAAGCCTTTCATACATTTGTGGCCAAGAAATGGGCCAAGATCAATCACAATAGCAATGAAGAGTTGGCACGCCAACGAGCCACCAATCCCATTCCGAAGAAGGTCAAGCCCAAGAAGACATACAGTAGAAAGAAAAAGGGCACTACTACCTTCACTACCACTTGGGGCTCTAGCGAACAATTCTCCGACGATGAGAACGATGATGATACTTTGAACCAACCAAACAAAGACAGGAACGAAATGGAACCTTCTGCGGATCTTGCACCCAATGACGACGCCATGGAAGAGGACGACGAGATGGATGCTCAACATGAAGAAGACAAGGCAGACTCTGGCGACGACTTGGAGGAGGATGAACCATCACCTGTGCCTGTTGCAAACACCAAAACACCCAACGCAAAGGGAAAACGTGTGGGAAGACGACTACGTCGCATTTCGTTGGATGAGCCAATGGAGGACTCGGACGATGAGTTCCAAGCGGACTTGACAACGACAACACCCGCCAATGCCCAACGAGTGGTGACTCCGTTTGAACGGCAAAAAGCGTTGGAAGATGATGACGACGACGACGACGACGAACACGTGGATAGGAAGAATGAGGTGACTCCCACCACAGTTGATACCGTCAAGAGCAAGAAGATTAATGCCTTCTTCATGCCCAAAGCCAACCACAAACAGCTCCAACCAGCTCCAGAGGAACCCCCCAGCACAGGTTCCAAGAAACCGGGTTCCAAGACACCAGCTTTGGATTCTACAAACAAGCTTGCCACTTCTTCCTCCACTCCCAATCAATCGGCATCCACTCCCGTGCGAGAGCCAAAGGTGGATCTCTTTCACTCGCCCAAGTCACCAAAGGCAACTACTGCTGCCGGAACAGGAACCCCCGGTTTGACGCCCACATCAGAGATTGGCACACCCAAAGCTCCTCCGGCAACAGCATCCAAGACAACACTAAAGAAACGGCGATGGGATGACAAGGAGAATGGGGACGAGGAAGAACCCTGGATGTGTCGCCGGTCCCCGCCCTTTCAGCCTGCCATTGTTGACTCTCCCAGTAGTGGTCGCATGAACAAGAAGAAGCGGAATTGCTATGGCGGGAGGGGCCTTGGCTGCTTGCCGACACGGGCACGTCTTGGCAACAACAACCAAGATGGAAAGTCTTTGGGGTGGCGCGACGAATCTCCTCCTGTGGCGGAAGATGCCAATACCGGTACAAAAGATGATGACAATCGTCCTTCGTATCGAGGTTTGCGCAATGGGGGCAACACGTGCTATTTGAACTCTTCTCTGCAATTGCTCTTTACTGTGAAAGACTTTGTTGACAGCATTGATGGAAAGGGAGGAGAGTTGACACAGAGTTTTGTTTCCACCGCTCGAATGGTTGGCGACACATCCAAGCCTGGAGCGGCGTCGGCTTTTGCAGTCAAGCGGGCGATTGACAGAAAGACGGACAAGTTCAAAGGATTCCAGCAGCGAGATGCGCACGAGTTCTTGGGAGACCTAATCGACAACATACACGAGGAATTGGTTGAAGAAGACAAACAAAAGCGAAAGAAGGAAGAGGCCGTCGAAAATGAAGAGACCGTTGAAAAAGAAGAGCAAGATTCCAAGGAAGAACAGCAGGATGATGGAAAATCCAATGGCAACGTGCAACCCTCGTCTCCAAACAATGATGTCACAAAGGACGAGGACGGAACGACAACAACTAAGGAAGACACGACAACTAGCAACCCAGTATCCACTGAACCGTCAGAGGAGTTTCCTCAGACAAAGGCTCACGGCAGCGAGAGCGGAGAGATCGCCACAGATGACGCATCCACGAGCACACCTTCTCTACAGTCCGCCGAAGAGATTGAAAACTTCGAGGCATCAAAGCTATCGGATGCTCCAGCTGAGGCTGGTTTGGGCACGAAGTTCCCGACAGATGATTTCTTCCGTTGCGATATGGAAGTTTGCTTGACTTGCAACCACTGTTCGTATTCTCGGTAAGTGGCTCTCTCTGGTGTTGCTGCTGATTCGATTCCGATGCGATGAATGAAAGAAGGATGCTAACCTTTTCCTTTTGCTTCTCAGGACCAAGAAAGAAACCTACATGCACCTTTCACTTGATATTGACCAGACAACCCAGGACGAAAAAGATGGCGACGAGGCCGTGTCAGTCAAGAAGAGTCTCGAGAGGTTCTTCCAGGCGGAGGAGCGTGAGATCAAGTGTGAAAAATGCAAGGTCGGCAATACAGCCTCGCAATCATTGAAGCTATTGAATCGGTAAGCAAGGAACCCGTGCTAAGTGTCAACTTGTGAATGCTGTCATTCCTGACTTTCATTTCTCCCCTTGATTGGCAGGCCCAAGGCTCTTCTGTTGCACTTGAAGCGGTTCATCGTCGAGCAGCGAGAGGCCAGGAATGGAGATATCGAGATCACAGTGAACAAGAACAAGGCACCAGTAGATCTCTCGGAGCACGTATCATTGGACGCGTTCACGGGAGGCAACCAAACAGGCGCGCATGAATATTCTTTGAAGAGCCTCGTTCACCATGTCGGGAACAGCTCTTCGTCGGGCCATTACACAGCACACGCAGAGCGGTGCCGACGTCAGGAAGGTAGCGAAGGTGACGAAAACAAGTCGCTGACGGAGTGGGTATACTTTGATGATTCCACAACAAAACTCGCTACCCTGGATGGGATCAGAGACAGCCCATATCGAAAGAAGAACGCTTACTTGCTTCTATACACTCTATCCTAGTTCCGTGGTAACATCCACAAACAGCTCATGTAAACTACAATGCACTTGCAACCATTGGGCTTCGACCCGTACAATGTAGCTTAGCTTTCGAGTATTCTGGTAATCCATCTTTCTAGTTGTGATTTGAACCGATTGTCTTTCCTTATGCCAGTGGATTTACCATACCACCTCCAAACAAAACACTACACAATACTTGTTCGCCTCGCACCCCAGTGCAACGTCCACGCGGCTTGAGTATTTGAGACAACATGGTTCGCGACTTCCAAAGGCTCGTGGAGCCTGTATTCAGCATGCGATACACCACTACTGTACGTCGAGACGACGCCGAGAGCTCGATAGGTTAGGGAATTCTCCTCCAGTGTTAGACAGAGGGCCGCAAGTGATCGCACAGTTAAGCCACGCATCATTGCACTCCACTCTTATTATTGACCAACTTCCTTTGCAATTTTGCTAATCTCGGACGACCTTGCAAGGCCAACTCGAACGGCACCGTAGCAAGCGACAATGTTTCCCACCAGAGTCAGGAGCTTTCCATGGGAACTATCTGAAACCACACTGGTCACCACAAAGTCCAAGATGAGCACCCCAATAAACATGATATAGCCAACAATGCCATACGCCAAAAGTCTCGACGTGGATGGATGACCCAGCTCGTTGCGGAACATTTCGTTCACAGCTCGGAGATACACGTCGAATGGCTTTCCCTCGGGTGAATTGCTGGTTGCTTTGTAGAGAACTTGTCGTCGAGGATACGAGAACGGTCGGTTGACCACGACAACGTCTCCCTTTTTGTATCGTCTCTTTGGATCCCACTGTGACGGAGTGGGACCAGAAGTCGGGGCGGAAGTGACCTCGGTCCATTCTCCACAAATGTATCCAGTGACTGCCAAATAGGAACCATTCAGTGTGATGGCTTGCGCCAGTAACAAAATCACAGAGCAGTAAACAACACTTATACCCGCAAAGAATAGAGACTTCCAGTCAATGGAGGAATTGGCACAGACATCTCCTCGGTAGGCACTCCCTGCCGGATACAGTAGAGATGGTAGTTGCCATACTTGAATGCCTTCTTGGCAGTGCCCTGTGGTGTTGCAGGCAAACGCCGTTCGTGGCAACAGAACCGCCACAAATAGGTTTTCCATGGTTCGTAGCAGACCCACCGTGACAAAGAGCCGCAATCGATTTTGTGCCACAATGTTCTTGTTCTGTTCGGTCCAGGACCCATCCTGACTTTCCTTTTGTGCTTTTGTTTTGAGTGGTTTCTGTGGTGATATTACAAGGTGTTATCGATGGGTGAAAGGATTGCAATTTTGAGTACCCTGCAGAGCAAAGAAGAAGATAGGAATAGATCGATGCACTTACACTGCTGGATCCTCCGTGTGTCTTTGCTTCATTGCGAACTGCCTTTAAAACATTCGAGCCAGCAACGAGGTCCGGGAAAGGGTTGACCAGTCTATTGAATAGTAGCAAGCTCAGAATAGTAGGACATGACAAGACCAGGAAGATATCGAATGTGGTACTATCGGATGAGCCTCCCTGCTGCAAGCCATTGGTCGATGTTGTTGCATCATGAATTGTGGCACCACATGTCGATGAGGATGAAAACGGATTGAGTTGATTGGAAAAGGGAAGACGCAACTGCCATGCGTAGAAAAAGAGAATGCACACGGGGATGCAAACATGGACGGCTGGTGCAATGTGATTAAAGGCAATGGTGAAGGATCGTATCACTTTTTGTGCCGCAGGGGAGAGACGATGGCCGGATGTCAGATCATTGATTCCACTGTCACTTCCTTTTTTTGTCTTGTTGACAGTACCACTGGTTAGATTTGTATTGTTTGGGTTGTTGTGGCTGCTTGTGTTGCTGCTGCTGCTGTTGTGATTGGATCCTTTGTCGTCCCCGGATGACAGTTCTCCTCGACTGGAGAATCCAGCCTTTTCTTGGAGGAATTTTTGTCTTCGAAGGATCGGAAACAGTATTCGGACACGACAAAACTCCCAAACCGCAATGACGGTGGGCAATTCAAAGGTGGAAGACGCGTGTTTGTCGTCTTCCATGAGACCCGCCGTAGGTCGATCGAAATACTGTCCTGCCATGATATGGGTGGTAATGAATCGGGACAGGATTCCAGTGATGGTTGGATGAGCACTGGTAGAGACATCCCACGTGGCGATCCATCGGATCAAAATGTACCGGGAAAGCCACAGACTGGTGGCGCCAATAAACAAAGCGTCTCCCAGCAACCCAAAGCTGTCGGTGTAGACCAGCTGGAGACTGGACGCGGTCAGTAATGTCATGGAACACAACAGAAACAATTCATGTTGAAGGTGGACCGTCGTTGGCCCTCGAATGTCGTACACAAGTGTGTCCATCTTGTCTTGTAGCATTATTTGATTGCAGGTCGTTGCTTTTTTTTGTATCGAGTGGATCTTCTGATTGAGCGCTCGTGTCAGTTGCGCTGTGGCCTAGCTAGTCGTTGGACCGTACCTTTTGTGGTTCTTATAATCCTGCAAGGCTGCGAAGATGCCTTGCCTCCTGGCAAGGAAGCACACCTTTGGGTAACCATAGATGTACATCTCCATGTAGAGCAGGGAGATTATCAGATTCTATGGAAGCCATTGAGGGCCAGGCTCAAGCAAAGAAGAGTCGAAACTCAGCACTAGCTAGTCAAGTTTCCTTGGGCTGTTGGATCAGGGGCGATAAATTGAGGACCGGTAGCTACCGGTACGCGGGGGCCAAAACGGAATTCCCCGCAGCCTCTGTTCAGCCAGCAAGGAAAGGTGGCAACCAGAGAGCAGTGGGCATGGGAACTGCAGAAAGTATTGGCACGAACATTTCCAGGCCTACCGTACGCACCTTCCATGGAAGGGGAGCGAAGCGAGAAGTGCGAAGCGAAGAGCATGTTTTGCGTACGATACCAGCCATAGCTAGCTACGGTTGGCGTGGCTAGCTATTTACAGCCCAATGTAGTAGCTACATACATGTAGCGAGATCGACAACTTCCTACAATTAACCGAAAGCTCTTTGGACTGGCAAAAGCACACATCTAGCTAAACTCCGATCCTGCCTTTTCTATGTTTTCATGCTGGTGCAGCCATGTGGAGTTAGCTGGATACTGCATGTGGCTAGCTACAGCACCTGGTAAATCCCTGACCTCTTCACTCACGGACTGTAGGTTGCTATAGAAACGATCCGATCTCTTCTACGACGGTGCTGAGAGTCTATTCTAACTACGGTACCGGTACTCCGCCGCTTGGCAAGTACGATACACATAAATTTGTCACATGCATTGTAAGTCCCGATCGTTGGCGGTTTAGATAGAGAGTTCGTGCAGGAAACGGCTAATTGATGCAGGCTGGTGGAACGAAAATTTGGCCGTTTCCTATTAATTTTGTCGATGTCATCCGCGATCAACATGACCACGATTTTATTGCGAGAAATCATCACTGCCTGAGCAACCGGAAGGATCCACCCAAATACTGGCGAGAGAAACACTTTCATTTTCTCTTCCAAGTTCGAGTGTACATCATAGCGAACATGTTGACCAAGCTTAGTTTCGTTGCCGCAGTTGCCTTGAGCAGTCTCTTTTCGGGGGTTTCTGCCCTCTCTTCCGGTGCCATTGGCTGCAATGGAGATGAACCAGCCGTGGGAGGCACACACACTGACGCCGCCGTGAGACCTCTCCAAAAGACTGGAGACTTTGCTTCCGGAAGCTTGACGTTTGCCATTAATGGAGTTCCATTGGACCCCGACGTGCCCTTTGATGCTCCCATTGGAATGGCCCACACATGGACCCTTACCGTCGATCTAGATGGTCTGCAATCCCGTCCATTCCGTGGTTTCTTGGTGCGCGTTGGTGGCGGTGATGGCAATGTAGGTGCGGATGATGCCTTGGAAATCCTGGATGAGAGTGGCGCCGATGTCCAAGAAGCTCTCGTTTGTGCTGCCCAGCCAGGCGTTGGTGGCCTCACTCATACTTCCAATGACGAAAAGACATGCGTCATGGGTGCTCTTGTTTTGGAAGAACTCAATACAAACATTCCGGTCGATGTTACTGTCGTGATTGAAAACAGGGAAGAAAAATCCGCTTACTTTTACAATCAGTTCAAGATCAATGCCGTGGACACAGCGCCAGTGGGACAGGTGAGCCGAACAAACTTGATGAGCTGCGGCGGCCCCCCACCACCCGCAGCCACCATGACTGATACTGTCTGGGAGACCTATTGGGAAACCTCCGTAGAAACCATGGTCATGACCTAAGCAAAAAAAAGAGTTGCATCGAAAAAAAAAACAATGGAGAAATAAAATGGTGCATGTGGGTAGGCAATTATTTCGCTATTTCACCTGTCGCCCAGACCAATGCCTCTTGTGTGTGTGTGTGACTTGTGTTCGGATGTGTGTGAAGGAATCAATCTCTGTGAGGGATGGGCATGGACTGTGCTGCAAAAGTTGTCGTTGTGGCTCTCCAGTCACATTAAAAAACTAAGAAAACATATAGTTGTATTCAGGCAAAACCACCTGTGGCGTCAACTTCATGTCAATCTTCATGTCAATGGTAAGGGGACTGGGTAACCCCATTATCGATCGGTTCATTCCTCTGCCAATGTCTGTGTGGGAGGCTCCAAAAGCACCCGCACAGAGAGCTTTTCTACTGCTGGTACACTTGGAACACCAGTCCCAGCTTTGGACGAATACCGTCCATCGCCGGGTTCCACTGCCGAACGAGCTCTAGCCAGTGGAAGAAATTCCCGGATCAAAGGAAGACCAAACTCAAGACAAGCCCCCGATAGGAACAACTCCCGTATCCATCCTCCAGCCCCATTCCTGGTCAAACTCCTTGGTTTCAGGAGGACCAACTCCCGGTGTACCAATAGATCCATTGCCAGCAGGCCCCGCTCCTGGACAAACATCAGGATTAACCAATGGCACCGGAAATACACTCAGGCCCCACTCACAAACCAACTCCAGGCTGAACAGTACCAGAGACCAACTATAAAAGCAGCTGAGATCTCCAGCAGCTTTGCCCCGTGAAGGCAGTGATCTCCTGTGGCTTTGCCCCAGCTGCATGCACGACAACACGCGTCTACCGCCAGCAATCAAAAGAGAGCATCAGTATGCCTGGAGCCCCTTGTCAATACATGGCTATCGGTACATAGCTAGCTACCAGTAAAGGTATCTTTTGACCTTTTGAGCTTTGACGCTTCGAACATTGTCGCAAATAAAGAATCTAGGTCAGCAATATTCTAAACCCCAAGTTACGTACCTCTATCCAAGATCACTACCAAGCACGTAGCTTTCTACACCAGCTCTCAGGCATCAGTGGCTAGGTAGCTCTAGCTACATGTAGCTAGTCTGCGAGCCATTGTTTGCTGTTGCGGTAGAAAGACATAGCCCTGGAGTGCTCCCTTCCTTTCAAGCTATTTGGCCCACCAGAGGCACAACCAGTCCACACTTCATTTTCTCTTTCGAGTCTGAGTATAACCACCATGTTGACCAAGCATAGTTTCCTTGCCATCATCGCCTTTACCAGCCTCTTTTCTGGGGTTTCTGCCCTCTCTTCCGGTGCCATTGGCTGCAATGGAGATGAACCAGCCGTGGGAGACGAACACACCGATTCCGACCTGAAACCTCTCCAAAAGACCGGAGACTTGGCAGTCGGAAGCTTGACGCTTGCCATTAATGGAGTTCCATTGGACCCCAACACTCCCTTTGATGCTCCCATTGGAGTGGCCCACACATGGACCCTTACGGTTGACCTGGAAGGGTTGCATGCCCGTCCATTCCGTGGTTTCTTGGTGCGCATCGATAGCGGTGATGCCAACATAGGTGGGGATGATGCCTTGGAAATCCTGGATGAGAGTGGCAGTGACATCCAAGAAGCCCTTGTTTGTGCAGTCCAGGAGGGAGTTGGTGGCCTCACTCATACTTCCAATGGCGAAAAGACACGCGTCGTCGGTGCTCTCGTCTTGGAAGAAGTCAACACAAATATTTCTGTTGATGTTACTGTCGTGATTGAAAACCGGGATATCAGATCCGCTTACTTTTACAATCAGTTCAAGATCAATGCTGTGGACACTGCAAGCCCCGGGGAAGGAGGAGGGGACAATGACAACAACCACCCTGATGGTAATGATGTGTGTTTCTCGGGAATTGATACAGTGGAAGTCCAGAGCCGGGGACGCATCCAAATGAAGGATATGAGGGTTGGAGATCTCGTTCGCACTGGGCCCGGAAAGTACGACTGGGAGCCCATCTATGGGTTTGGTCATTTGGACACAGCAAAATCTGCGGAGTACCTTCAGATCCACACTGATGGAAATAGAGCACCTCTGGAAATGACGGGGAATCACTTGATCTACCGTGTGAACCCATCTACTTTGGAATCAAAGCTGATCCCTGCAGCTCAGTTGGAGCCAGCAAACTTTGTGGAGGTGGTGTTACAGGGCGACGAGGCTGTACACGGTGTGCACTTAGTCGCAGTGTCCAAGATCACCAGGGTCAAAAGACGTGGCTTGTACATGCCATTGACTCCCAGCGGCAGAATCTTGGTCAATGGAGTATTCTCCAGTTGCTATGTCTCTGTGAATGTTGAGCTCCCACCAACAGTTGCCAAGTACAGTTCCTGGTTCTTGTCCGAAAGTGCAATCTTGCATTGGTGGCTTGCTCCTCACCGCATTGCTGCGATGATGGGCCTTTCTTGGTCCTTGGGTTGTGCCATGGACGAGAATGGCTATCTCCAGTGGCTAATGTATGGGAAGAAACTGGCGGAGTACGCAGAAGACAAAGGTTTTATGATCCAATTTGTTTTGATTGGGTTGCCCTTGCTGGCTGTATTGGGTGTGATCAACCTTTTGGAGGCCTTAGTTGGAGCAGCGGGAGTTCCCAAGTTGATATTTTGGTTGCTTGTCTGGCTGATCTGTACAATGGTGTTTTCCAGAAAGAAAGTTGGTCATGGCAAGACTACCCGCAGGGCGTGGAATGACTTGATTTCCTCTGTTTCAAAGCTGTCTCCCTAGCCATCAGCCACTATAGCCAGCCATGCATAACGAAAATAGTTAGTACCATAGCTTCTGTGGTGGTGGTCTGGTGGGCATTGTGCAGCTGCCATTCGCGCAATCAAAGATTCCCATTGTCGGCTTGACGCCTCGGGAAAAGATCCTTCGGAGCGACCTGCCCTTTTTTTTGGCCGAGCAAGTCACAAGGTGATTAAAAAAATATCCTGTAAAGCCGGCTCTACCTAGAGGGGACTATGAGTGGGAATGGATGCCAAAGGACCCGTGCAATGTCCAAAGTTGGCAAGGAGCCGCTGCAATTGCTTTGTTGCCCTTGCGCCTTGCACCGCTGTACACAGAAGAACAATTCTACAAGAGACTTCCTGACGGAAACTTCAAAAGCTGGCAATATTGGTGCTTGCGAGCGGTACTCAAAAGATCCGAGAAATATCCACGAATGAGCCGCCCCAACGGATCGAAGGCGCAACCCAACGAGCTACCGGTAGCGTCCCACCACATCATTGCAACAAAACCTACCACGCGGAAGAACCTCGACACCATGAATCCTACCAGGAGCATGCCCACAAAACGACATGACCATGAGAGCCCAACATTCCTTCCAAGCACTGTTTAGACTGCTGATTGTGTGCAGGTGTTGTGTCCTCCCGGCTTGTGCTTTGTGGTTCAATTTCTTGCGTGATCAAGATGAGGCTCCGTCGCCTAGTCCATCACCTGCCGGTACTCCCTCCCCCTGTTCAACGTTGTGGTGCAAACTCTTTCGTGGTGGAGAAGATGAGACTCCATCGCCTACTCCATCCCCTACCAGTTCTCCTTCCCCCTCTTCAAGGTTGTTGTTGAATATCTTTGCTGGTCAAGATGAGACTTCGTCGCCAAGTCCCTCCCCTACCGGTACACCCTCCCCAACGCCACTCCCCTTGGCAACGTCAAGTCCAACAGAATCAAAAGCTGATCAGGGCGATGACGAGAAAACGTCGACTGAATCGCCCACAGCCTCAGCTTCGTTGAGGGGTACGTTTGCGTCAACCGACACTGCGACACAGACACTAAGTACCGAGACCGGCACCCCCACCGAGCTCTATACAACAGCTCCTACGCAAGAAGAGGACGATGCCTTCTATACCATCATTGTGCTTTCAGATGTGGAAAACAATTGGCGAGGGCACAATATTGCTCGTTCACGGTATATCGTCCAATACATTCGGGACCTTTCAAAGCTCGACTTGTACTTTGAGGGTGACTTCAGCGATCACAAAATCGACCCTCAGCTGGTGATCAATACTGGAGACATTAGCCATTTTTGGTCCTGTCACAATCCCAACTACTTGTACTCCTTTACAGGCAATCCTGCTTGTCGAAGTCCTCACGAAGAGTTTCGTGACATTTGGGGACAACTCTACAAGGCTGGAATCCCAATGATTAGTTCCTATGGCAACCATGATTGGAGGCCCCGTATTGGCACGGGCAATCCTTACCGTGGAACTCCGCGAAGACCGCGTGATCCTGAAGCCGACAATATCAACCTGTGGAGTTCCGAGTTTGTACAAATGTCATATGAGTTGGCCGCGGCATGGGGAGATCTCACATTCAAGCAAATACCTCCAGTAGGCGACATTGGACAGTCCATGTACACGAGCAACTTTCGGGGCTTGCAGATAGCCAGTTTCAACTCCGCTCCGAACTGGCAATCATATGATGACAGGGGCATCTACTCGGCGGATGAACAGTTCCGCCGACTATCAGAAACGTTGAACCGAACACAGCCGACGCTCTTCTTCAGTCACTTCCCACTCAGTTCGAATAGGCTCGGCAATCAGACACCCTCTGCCGAAACAGTTGTGAAATTCATTCAACAGTTTCCAGCGGGAACCCATCATTTTGCAGGGCACTACCACGCGGCAAGCATTGAAAGATACAACGGATTTAACTCATACATCGTGCCCTACCCTCATACGTGGGTGGGACGAGAACCCGGCTATTTGGCACTCCTTGTTTCGAAACTCAAAAACAAAGTTGTTCAAGTCCAGGCAATGACCATACCTGGGTTGCAGGATGGTACTTTGTGTTATCTCCCGGGAGGCGTTAACTTTGCAATGAACATTCGTTATTACATGTCCCCCCAAAGTGGAATCTTGTGGCGTCCGTGGGGAGAGCATTTTGGCAACTTGTTTGGTGGGGCTCGTTCTGACAACGATGCTGAGGCGTCGAATGAGGAGGAGGATGGGTGCGATCGATGCAAAGCTGGGAAGCAGTATTGGTCACCCTCGCGTTTGGGATGGATCTGCGGGGATCCACCATCCGAGGCCAACATATTTGAAACCGACAGGAATCAAGATATCTATGACAGTCTGGATGGATCAGACTTTGCAGACGACCAATTCTAGCCTGCCACGAGAACCGTCGTCCTGCTCACCGCTGCAGTACCGGTACGTGGCAATTCCACTACAGCTGACTACCCTGATGGCGTGGTCACATTTTCCGAAGCCTGCTCTGTATCTTCTTCAGTTTAGAAGAGTGCTGGAGGGATGCAGAATGAATGCGGCTTAGTCCCCCTGAAAGAGGCATGACAATTCGCTAACCTTTTGATTAAAGAAGGTACTTCATGCCACCCAGGAATTTAAAAGAGCCACCATGCAGTATGATACCCCAGGGGTCAATAAGCACAGCCACCTCCCCTATCAAAACCAATGTTGTTACCTGCTTGGACTAAAGAAAGCGTTTAATAGCATGGAGCATCAAGATGATAAGATAATCCAGCTTAGTTTGTCGAACTCCAGTCCATTTGAAAACTGCTTGGCGGCAGAAGTAATAGCTTGCAGCAAGAGAATCTTTAAGTGGCACTTTACCCAGGCGCACCTGCCACAAGAGCTTGCAGAAGCAAAAGTAGCGAGTTGTTTGAGGAACATATGCCGCAATATTGTTGGTGGCATGTGACGCAATGGATGCCCAAACTCCGTGCTTTTCCAATAATGGCTAATAGCTCATCTTGGCCTGGACAAAGGCTTTGGTGGACTGTTGGACGGCCCAATAGATTTGATATGCATCCATTTGATGTTCCAGATTATTGATAACCGAAAATGCAGAAATGAATTTATCCGTGTCCCAAATGCCATTGTTGGCTTCATTCATTACGTGGAATGCTAGATCACCAACGTGGCTTTGGTCCACATCTGGAATATGGTTTCCAATGTGACCCATCCCAAACAGACAACTGGTGACGAATTGCCACGAGTCTCCCATTTCACATGCAGTTGTATTCTCCATGCCTGCTGTGGAAGCATCAGCACCCCAGATGCTGACTTTGGTAATATTTGTCGTGTTCTCCTTCTTGGTTTGAATGGATGAAAGTAACAGCCGATCTTGTAGTTCCTCAAGAATTGGTCCAAGGAAGCAGGCTTTGAGCTTGGTATTGTGATACTTGCGATGCACATGGCCAGCGCATTTTGAGCATGCACCTTGGAGGAGGACTGGCAGCCAGACAACTTCATAGCCTCTTTCCAGCTGTGTCTGGAATCTCAAACCCCATGCAACCAATGCCGCAATTCGAAAGGAAAATCTAACCTTCTTGGAGCAATCAAAGAGAAGGTGGAGGATCCTGGATCCCTTTTTCTGGAAAATGACATGGCACTTTGGAATCTTCAACAATTGTAGGCACTACCACCAAGTTCAGGATCACTCGATCTGCAATGTCAAACTTCATAAAGGTTACAAGGTGATCACCACCCCAGAGACAATGGCATACCCCAATTCGTATCTTTTCCAGTGTCTCTACCGCTTTCACCTTGATAGTTCCCCAAACTCTTTTTGATTGTAGCTGAGTGTTATTTCCCTGTTGCGTAGGTACAGACTCCTGGTCCTATCCTTGATGGCCACATCAGTAGTTGATCCACTGCTGGACTTGCTGGACAGTGGATTGGGTGCGAGCCTTCCCGGAATTCGAATTCCATTGCATGTTGGCACTGACAAGACCAGGAAAAGCAAAGCTCGGAAGAGAGACATGGTGTCCGTCGGTTACCGTTCACCAATGGAGTTTCGTTTGTCTTTCCCTTTTGAGCTCCTTTGTCGGCCGCTTCCACGGTGGACGTGCTAATTATTGGCGGGTCCACGGTGGCCCTATCCTTACAGTACTGCATTGACAGGTTCCGAAACCTGTGCCGAGAACAAAATCGAACAGGAGAGAAAAACCAGTCACAGCGCTTCTCTCTTCTCTCTGCGATCTTGCAATCTTGTCACAAGAAGGGGCTCAACAACAAGCAATCAGGCAACAGGTATCTCGATCGACCAAAAGAAGAGTAAGAAACATAAAAGCAAGCAACCTCGATCGAATACGAGTAGACCTATCTACTACAAGCCAGGAGGAAGTGCAAGAACAAAAAGAAGATGACAACGTTGACAGCCACCCAGATTCCGTGCTGTTTGTGCGGCACGATGATTTATCCGAATCCAGCCAATCAGTGCAACACTTGTTTGGCCCAAGAAGTGGATCTCCAGAGCGTCCTGCAACGAGGCCCTGGCGGTGGTGATTTGGTAGTGCACCAGTGCCGTCAGTGTCGCGCGTTTCAAGTGACGGAGAAACTGTACAAGTACATGGAAATAGAGAGTCCCGAATTGCTGGCAGTCTGTCTCAAGAGGTTACCCGCCTTGCACAATTCGCAACAACAGCGGCTCAAGATCAAGGTGGCCGATGCCATGTGGATTTGGACTGAACCACATTCCATGAGACTCAAGGTGCGATTGACTGTTCGGGCCACGATTCATGGCGTGGAAATTCAGCAGCGAGTTCCTGTCGAGCTCAAGATACAGTTCAAGCAGTGCAATGAGTGTAATCGAGAATACACCAATCGAGTGAGTGCACTATCCTGCATAAAGCGCCAAAGTGTTGGTTGTGTTGGACCAATCGAACTCACACAGATCTGACTTTTTTCTTCTTACTTTGCTATTATTGTATTGTGTTTGTGTTCTACAATTTTCTATTAGACATGGCACGCCCTCGTCCAACTACGACAAAAACGAACCGACGATGCTCCCAAAAAGGGACTTGCCGCTCTGGAAATGGCACTCGCCAAGAATTCCAACATTCGCAAACACGTGCTCAAAATCGATTCCTCCCGCAATGGATTCGACTTTTACTTTCTCAATCTACCGGAAGCTCAAGCCTTTGCTTCTTACTTGGCGCGAGTGGCACCCATGCGAACCAAAACCACCAAAAAGCTAGTCTCGGCCGATGTCAAGAACAATACCGCCAATATGAAACACACGGTTGCGTGTGACATGGTGCCGCTCTGTCGTCACGATCTCATTATGGTGCACAAGAGTGCGTCCAGTCCTCTTGCCGGACGACTGGCGTTGGTGTCCAAAGTTTCCAGTGTGCTGCATTTGGTCGATGCGGCGCCCAAACGCAACCCCACCATGGATGGCAGTCAGGCGGAACTGTCGCCGGAAACTTATTACAAATCGGGGGAAAAGTTGTATCAATTGTGTCAAACGTCGAGTCGATTGACAAAGTTTGTGGTTTTGGATGTCGAGCTCTGTGGCAATGATCCTTACACCAATGATGATGGTGACGATGAGGATGCCGGAAAAAACAGCTACAATCCACCACACGCGCTGGCGGATGTAGAGGTCGCACGAGAATCGGACTTTGGCAAAAACGACGAAACCGTTCGGTGCGTGACGCATCTCGGAAACTTTTTACAACCGGGCGATATGGTATTGGGATACGACTTGGTTGCCTCCGTGCTTTCTGGAGGAGCCGAGTGGGACATGGACAATTGCTTTCAATCGAGCTTTGTCATGCCCGATGTGGTATTGGTCAAAAAGGTCAAGGAAAAGACAGTGGAACAGCAAGAGCAACAACAACACGCTGAGGACGCCAATGCCAACGGCAAAAAGGGACGCATGTCCAAGCGCAAGGAAAAGAGACGAATGCGAAACGAGAAAAAAGCCAAGGAATTGGAAGAAAGCGCACTGCGAATGGGATTTGTACCCACGGCCAGCTTGATGGAAGATGACGACGAAGAGTACGATCCTGATTTGGAGGCAGATCTTGCAGCAATTGAAGCAGACTTGGCAGCCATTGGCGAAGAGGAAGCAAAGAGGGAGCAAGCAGCCGAGACGACAACTGCCATCGAAGGAGAAACCGGAGAAGAATAACACGCCAGCTAAAGCGTAACATCAGCTAATGGGCTTCTTTTGCATCCATGGAAGCGACTTGTGCTCGGTACTGGTACTCGCAGATTCCTGCTTCTTGCGTGATTCTCTTGCTGAGCTTTGATAAGCAAGCTACGGTAAAACTGCATTTGAGATCTATGACGTCTTTATTTATTTTGCTTCTGAGTCCTGAGCTGAGCACGCTCTAGTGTCGCGGGCATATGTTCGGCCGAGAAGGCCGTCGGTCAAGTCCCCACCCTCAGCTCGGAAGATACAATGGCTTTCAAGTTGTTCATGTCTATGGTTCTGAATGATTGCACGTGGAAAGTGCGCTACAAGGCACTGGAGCATTGTTTGCTCGTCAGTCTGTCTTCATGAAACGGTCAAAACTGCCGGCAGCGATGTTAAAGTTGGTTGTTGGATCTAGATGATGCTGGATGTGATGGGTTCGAGCATCTTGTAGCCAACCCTTCAAAGGCAGCTTGGTGTGTGTCAAAAAGTGAATTGTCAAGTGGCCCATGCCACTGGCAGTGTAAGATGCAAGCCATGTCGTGACCAAGGCGGCAGGAGCCCCCATGGACACTGCAGTCAAAGCAATAGCAGCAGCAAGTGAATACCAACCAGCTACCATGGGCAAAGGTTCCATGATGACATGAAAGTAGGGAAGGGCGTGGTGCCTATCATGAATCTGAAAAGGCCGAATGGCTTTGTCTTGGTCACTGCCATGGAATAGACCAGCATGGATAACCCATTCCTGAATTTCCCAGAACATCTTGGTCCCTATCATAGTCACCACATCTTCAAATCCAAATGGTGCCAATGCCAAGCGCACGCAAAGGGTCACTGTCAGGGCCAAAAAGGCAAACTGCATGGAAGGCGTCGTCGCAATCACTCTCATGGCTTCCTGCTTTGTTTTTGGGACTTGGAAGACCAATGTAGTTTCATCTTGGAGCTGCTGAGCCAGTTCTCCATGATAATGTTGTAGCTCCTTGAGATTGAAGAACACACTCTTTGTCTCCTTCATGTGCTTCTTTGTGGCAAGATCCATTCGTTGCCAATGACACGCAGCCGCCGTCATTGGAGCTTTGGGCAAAGCATTTCCTCGTCTCACGGCGTTTTTGATCTGAAAGGCGACGCTCTCACTGCTTGAAAGCAACAGAAGCAGAGCAGTTGGTACTGGTAGGAAGCAGAAAAGGATATTCATTTACTTTGGCTTGTTGTTTTTCTGTTGCTTGGATACCGGTACCAGGAATACTTTTCGATGTGTTTGTGAAACCTCTCGCCAGCAAAGTTTCTTCCACATTCCTAACGCTTTGATTCAGAAGCCAGCAAGGCTATGAAAAGGGCAAGATTAGCAAGCTACAGCACCAACGTTCGGTCCGGTAACGTAGACTAGACTACTGTACCCTTAACATTGATTAAATTTTTTACACTGTTTCGAGAACGATGTCCCATGCTAACTCTTCCTCTTCTTTGTCTTCTTGGCATGAATAGCAACAGAAGATCTTGAAAGAGTTAGTTTTCTTCATTTGAATCCGTTTTCTTCATCCTCTTCATCTCCTTCTTGGCATCAATAACATTCGTTGTGGCCCTCGTCCCACCACAATGCGCATCTCGGACAACAAAAAACGCCCTGCAAGAATTGCAAACAGTGTTATCCAACAAAATTTAATATTCACGACCACGTTTGGGATGACGACAAGAGCTTTCAATGAGAGGACTCTTCTGGACAGTACTCCTCTTCCTCCGGCCCAACTTCAGTTTCCATATAATGGGCATTGATGACCGTAAAATTTTCCTTTAGGTCCACCGTGACGGACTTTGGCGCAAACGTGACGACTGCACCGCAAGACGCCAAATATTCACCAGAAGCGAGCACCAAATACTTGGACGCCCAAAAGTTTTGAAGGAGGAACCATACCTTGCCAGAGGGCTCTTTTTTTAAACCAAGCATCACCATCGAATGTAACACACGGACACCATGAGGCTTTTTGCATTCTAAACCGTAGTCATAATATGCCTGCTGGTCAACCTCGTCATCGTAAACAAATTTGTTTGGTGTTGTAAAGTCTCGTTCAATCTTGAATTCAGACACAAGCGCAGGTTCATTTGTATTTTTGAACAAGTCGCATATTTCATCCATCCTCCGCTGGAATGTGGTTTCATTAGCTGATTTCTTTTGCAAATGAATGGTTTCACCTCGCATGACATCGAGCTCTGCTCCAGTAACCTCGCAACAAAATTCCACTGCGGAACCGCCACCTCCTTTCTTGAGGAATTTTTTTAGTTTGTCGTTTGGGAATTTCTCTCGTATATACCAGGAGATATCAAGCATTTCGTGATTATCTCCTTCTGGTTTCGTTCGTAAACACCAGAGGTAGTGTTGAAAGACAGCGACTGCATGCATGTAACAAATGCCGGCTTTTTGAAGCCTACACAGTGTAATAGACAAGTACTTTTCGATGGCTGTCTGATCGAAGAAAACGGATGCGATGAGACCATCGCAAAAGAGGCTAGACAAAGTCTGGCATCCAGCTATGAAGTGGCAGAATAGATCCCATTGCTCGCTAAATGTGGTCTCCCCGCGATCTTCCTTGTCCTTTGTGGGGCTCCACGAGAAGTCAGCCGACATCAAACGATTGGCCCTGAGCTTGCCATCTTGATCCAAGTC